AGTCTCAAAGGTGCCACAGGACCCTCTGTTGCTTTTTACAGATTCAGACTAACACGGCTACCCCTCTGATACTTATAAAGTTTGTGGACGATACCAAGCTGGAAGGGGTTGCAAGTGCTTTGGAGGACAGGATTAAAATTCAAATTGATCTGGACAAACTGGAGAAATGGTCTGAAGTAAATAGGCTGAAATTCAATAAGGACAAATGCAAAGTACTCCACTTAGGAAGGAACAATCAGTTGCACACATACAAAATGGGAAATGACTGCCTAGGAAGGAGTACTGCGGAAAGGGATCTGGGGGTCATACTGGATCTCAAGCTAAATATGAGTCAACAGTGTAACATTGTTGCAAAAAAAGCAAACATCGTTCTGGGATGTATTAGCATGAGTGTTCTACTATACTCCGAACTGATTTACTTCAAATGGAGTATTGTGTTCAGTTCTGGGTGCCACATTTCGGGAAAGATGCAGATGAATTGGAGAGAATCCTGAGAAGAGCAACAAAAATGATTAAAGGTCTAGAAAACATGACCTACGACGGAAGATTGAAAAAATTGGGTTTGTTTAGTCTGGAGAAGAGAAGACTGAGAGGAGACATGATAACAGTTTTCAAATACATAAAAGGTTGTTACAAGGAGGAGAGAGAAAAAGTGTCCTCTTTAACCTCTCAGGACAGGACAAGAAGCAATGGGCTTAAATTGCAGGAAGGGTGGTTTAGGCTGGACAGTAGGAAAAACTTCCTGTCAGGGTAGTTAAGCACTGGAATAAATTGGAATAAACCTACGGAGGTTGTTGCATCTCTGTCATTGGAGATTTTTAGGAGTAGGCTAGACAAACACCTGCTAGGGATGGTCTACATAATAGTTAGTCCTGCCTTGAGTGCAGGGGACTTGACTGGAAGACCTCTTGAGGTCCATTCCAGTCCTACAATTTATGATTCTATGATTCTATTCTCCCAAATCTTTTGAAATTTTGAAAAAAAAAATCCAGTACAAAAGTTTGTTTCATCAGCTTTAACATCATTATGTGGGTTATATCCTCATGTGGTAGAAATGTTATGGAACAGATGCTTCTATTAGGTCCAGATGGAGAGTAAAACCCTGCCCTATATTGTACAGATAAGTACCAGATAGGTAAGATTCCAGTCCCTGGAATGCTAGAAGGGGACCTCGGCTAATATATCTGCTAGTACTCCACAGTCCCGTTGACCTGTCTTCCTCTAAGCCAACAGAATAGGTCACAGGCCCACTGTACCACCAGTACTTCATACCCCATAGCTTTGCAGCTTAGACATGTAAAAGAAAAACAGAACTTTTCCCACAGCATATATTGCTCCAGTTCTTGCATCCTCAGTTTTCATAGCTGCTTTCATCCAAGCACAGCGTTGCACCCAAGTCATCTATAGCGTTTTGAGCTACCTTTTGACTATGAAGTCTATAATCACGAAGTGAGCTTCACTTTAAGTGTCTGGCCACTTGCACATCCCTACTGGGCAATAGGACGACATGCTGGATAAGCATGGCGACTGGTGTGTCCCAAAGATTAAAGTGCCTCACTGCCACCTTGTCAGCAAGACAGTCACAAAACAAGCATTGTGGTGACATGATAGTAACAGCAGTAGGCTTAGTCATGTCATGCACTGTATGAGCCGATACATGAACTCCAATAAATGTTCTCCTAGTGACAAAGTCAACTAAATATATTCATCTCTTTATATTCATACTCTTGCTTCATGAAAACCAATACTCTTTAGCAATATACTGACTTCCAAAAATTGGTACAGATCTCTTTTTATAACCAGGGCCATACAACAGTTGTAACAAACAATGGGATAAAAGAGCTAGAGATACCTTTAACACCTGATGCACGTCCAACAATCACAATGTCACATTCTATGCCTTTGAATGTATGGTGAGAGTGCCATGTGAACAAGATCCTGTTTCCATAACAAGAACTGTGCATTGTGAACAGGGCCGGCTCCAGGCACCAGCTTAACATGCAGGTGCTTGGGGCGGCCAAGGGAGAGGGGCGGCACCTGCGGCAATTTGGGGGCGGCAGGTCCCTCACTCCCTCTAGGAGCGAAGGACCTGCTGCTGAACTGCCGCCGCCACTCGTGACTTTTTTTTTTTTTGCTTGAGGCGGCAGAAATGCTGGAGCCAGCCCTGATTGTGAATTGTACATTCACAGCTCATGTCATGAAAAGGCACCTACACTTTTGGTGAACATATTACTTATTCCATTTCAGCAAGTTGACACATGGCATTACGCTCCTTCATTAGCAATATACAGTGCACGGTTATGGGTCATACTAATGTGAAGGTCAGAGTGCTAGTCTCCCAAATTCATGCTCACACCAGGAAAAAGGTAATATCTACAGCCTGTACAACAGCGAAGGCTAGATAGATCTCCTGATTTAGTTTAGGTGTGTAGCTATTCACCACTTCCCCACACTGAATACGTCTTTGTTTTTACTGTTTGGTAACCCAGTGTTAATGTTCACAGAATATTATACAGCTCCCAGAATACTACAGAAGATGCAGGGTTTCTATGGATGCCTATGTTTAAAATTAGGTACCAAAGTGAGGGTGCATAATTCTGCATTTGGGTACTAAAATCAGACACATTCATATTAGGGGTGTGTGTATGTTTATATATGTCTGGTAATTTGGAGAAATAGGGTCTTCAACCTAGGTGACCATGTTTAAAAACTGGGCTCATTAGCACAATAGATCAAATAAATCCCTGATGTAATGGTGCTGACAACATCAGGGACAAACCTGGCCCAACATATTTAATTTGTTACTGTAAAAATCCGTATAAAGAGTGTTTCACTGTAAATATTACTATTTGACTATTAATAAAAATACGTTGAGACCAGGTTGCTCCACAGACAGACAAGCAGATGTGAGATGCGACATCAGTTCAAAACTGCCCTATGCCTGCTTCAAATCACAGAAATGTGGGTGGCCCCAAGGCTGATAATGTTTTCTAATGTTCCTCCTGATTTCCATGCTTTTATCACTGAGCGAAAAATTCTTTGCCAATTCTGATTTGGCTGCTGCACTTTAGTGCTTGTCGGATATAAGCATCAGAACCATGAAGGAGAACATCATAGTCATCTTCTTCCAGTGTCAGTTTATTGGCTCTGGCTGGAATTTGTTCACAAATAGAACATCTGCCACTTTGAAGCAGACCTGGCTTCCTTGCAAATGGGGAAGTGGAGTCTCCAGGGAATGTAATCAATTCACTTGTAAAATGAGAATAATCAGTGAATTCAACAATTCCATGTAAGGGAACAGCAGAAGCAATTGGCACTATACATAGCACTCACCTCGTGGTGGTCGTAACTCGGTGATATTCTCAGTAGCTTCATCATCTGAGTCTCCAGTTGCCACTACCTTATATCTATTGCTGCTCTGTTTACTCAGCATGTGGGGTACTTGCAGCGCAGCCTCCCTCTCAGCAGCTAGGTCCAGATCTTGCTGAGCTAGGTGGGCTCTCAACTGCCTAATTTCAAACTATGAGAAAAACAACATAAAACAATGTGACACAAGTAAACCCTACCTGGAAATCATTATTCCCCAGAAAAGTGGAGTTTAGATTAGCACCCAACCTGTTGTTTGGTTGCTTGGATGTTGATGGTCTTCTAAGAAAGGTGGGGGGAAATTATATTAATTCGGTTTGGAGATACACTTTGGGGCAGTTTCTTAAGAGAAGAAATTGTCTAATAAGTGTGACCTCCAATACAGGTTTCACTGTATAATCATTTCAACTAGGGTTACCATAT